TGAGAGCCGATTTTTAAACTTAAACTATATAGCCAGGTACATTGTTATTAACTTCATTAGGGTCCTCCTAAGGCTTAGGAAGAGCCACACTCAAGGGGCCAAAGAGCCTCATGTGGCTCGCGAGCCGCAGAGTGCCGACCACGGCTAACCAACTGAGCTAGCTCTCTCTTTCTTTCTCTCCCCCCCCTCAACTCTTCCTCATCTCTGTCTCACTCTAAAGGGGAGGGCGGGGGGGCCTTTGGGCTTTGATGACGATTGAATACATAGATGTCTGTTTCTCAGCTTCTGCATCTCCATTCCTCTCCCCCAACCATTCTATTCCTTCTCCCCCTCCTTCTCTGCTCTTTTCTGGGCGTTCCCTCTACCCCAACCCCTCCCACCAGCTGCTCTCTGGGGGGCTTGTGAGCCACCAGGACCCTCAGATCATCCTCTGTCAGTGGTAGCAGCCTCCCCTGCACCCGAGGCTCACAACACAAAGGTCTCGTTCCACACAGGGTTCAGCGTGGCTTTCACGGTCCGGGTCTTCTGTTTTGTCAGGTTCCGAGGGTCTGGGATGAGCTTCAGTTTCACATAGGGGTCGGACAGGCCGTTGGGGTCCATGGGGATGAGGTTGCGGGCCTCACCGACTGGACGGGGAGGGGAAGGAGAGTAAGATGGGGTTAGAGATCCAGGAAGAGGTCCCTAGCCCACCCCCGGTCAGCATGGACACTTCCAAACTCTCTCTTGGCCCAGGAGTTTTTGCTGTCTACATACCGCCCCCCACCCCCAGTACCCAGAAGACAGGGCATAGAGTCCTTTGCCCCCAAATCAGACCTTCCTCCGTTAGGACCCAGGAGTCAGGACCTGGCCATTCTCTCACCCCCTCCTTCTCAAGGACCTTGAGGTCTCGCATGGCCATTAAAAGAACTCAACCAAAGGACCTGTATGCATGCATATAAGCATAACCAATGGACGCAGACAACAGGGGGTGAGGGTGAGGGTGAGGGCATGATTAGGGGGTGGGGGGCAATGGGGGACAAGGACACATATGTAATACCTTAATCAATAATTTTAAAAAAATGAAGCCCTAGCCAGGTTGGCTCAGTGGACAGAGCATCAGCCTGAGGACTGAAGGGTCCCAGGTTCAATTCCAGTCAAGGGCACGTACCTCAGTTGCAGGCTTGCTCCCTGGCCTTGGTCAGGGAACCTGTGAGAGGCAACCAATAGGTGTGTCTTTCTCACATCAATGTTTCTCTCTGTCTCTCCCCGTCCCTTACACTCTCTAAAAATCAATAGAAAAATATCCTCAAGTGAGGATTAACAAAAAAAAGAAAGAAT